AAAAAAAAAAAAAAAAAAAAAAAAAGGCTCTTTTTGCAGTTATTTTTACCTGTATTCACAGGCTGGATTTATTTGATCGAAAATACACTAAAACAGCAATATTGTGAAATATTATTAAAATTTAAAATAAAAATATTCTATTTGAATATATTTTAAAATGTAATTTATTCCTGTGAAGGCAAAGCTTGCTTTTCAGCAGCCATTACTCTAGTCTTCAGTGTCACATGATCCTTCAGAATTTGGTGCTAAAGAAACACTTAACATGATTGTTAATATTGAACACGGTTTAACATTGCTTAATATTTTTGTGGAAGCAGATACATTTTTTGATGAACTGAAAGTTCAAAAGAACAGCATTTATCTTTTATATCAGTGTAAAAGTCTGTACTGTCACTTATTTAATGTGCTCAACCTAAATTAAAGTATTTATTTCTTTAAAAAAAAGAAAATCTTACTGAGCCCAAACTTAAGCAGTACTGTACTTTCCTCCAAATATTGGACCCCCCAGGAGTTTTGGTTCAATACAAACACTGAACACACTGCTTATTTGATCAGTAAGATTGCAGTGTAAATCTCTGTACTTGATGATTTACCCAGAGAGTACAATAGTAATCACGGTCATATTGCCGTCAAGGACTTAATCAAAACGCAAATATTCCATAAACAGAGACACAGAAGAAAACACAGTGGATAGAGTAAACACACAATCACATACAGTAGTGACTGGCCAAAACATGAGGGTGACCACACACAGAGGAGGTGAGAAATTAAACAACTGGGGTGGTCACATGAGGTAAAGAAAAGGGAAACACAGCAGTGAGGCAGACTGAGAAAAGAGCGAAATATAAGGAGGACAGACAGGCCGCTGCTTGATGTTTGTAATAGACGGGAAGAGTATGAATAACCTTTTGAGGGACAGACTCTGAGTCAGTTGAGCTGCCTTCCTGTAGAGAGATCAGAAAACAAGCAGGGGGGTTGAGGATGATGTCACATCCTACGTAGATTACACACCTATTGCACAAAAGTGCACAATCACACACATTACTGTCAATGTGTGTTTGTTTTGGGCTGCTAATCCTGCTTTTATGAACTTACCTGCTCACACACCTCCAAAACGCCTCACTGAGAGTGTCCTTGCCAAAAGGACATCACTTTACAATGTACCCAATGCATATGTGCAAGCACATGCGGGAGCTCGCTGCTATTAGCCGAATTAAGATGCATTTACAAGCACGCAGGCAAACCACAAACTACATTCAACAGCCTTGCTGTATACTGGTAGTCATTGGAAAAAGTGTGTGGACCGATTTGTAATGGATGCATTTTGTTTATAACCCATGTTTAAAAAACCAGCCAATTATAAACAATTGCTTTGTTTACTGTGACACAATGGGGGCGTTGTGTTGGTGGGTTTGTGTGTTGTGTTTATTATACCTGTGTGACTGGCTCCTCCTCCACCTGCTGTGTGTTAAACACTGTGGCAGCATTGTCAGCACCCAGCAGTCTGCGAGCCATCTTCTCCTCATAGGTTAACCTCTGAAAGCAAGCAGGATTAATCTGTCAGAGCCTGGGTTAGTGTGTGAGAAAACACTCACACACGCGAAAGCATTGCGATTATTCGGTGGCCTGTACAAGTGAATTCAAAGCTATTAGTCGTGCTGAACACGTGGTGGGTTTTGCTATGCATTGTGGGTTGATTTTAGGACTCCTATAGTGATTGACCATTTCAGTTGGAGGAGCTGGTGGTGGAAGGTGATTTTCTCCATTTATTAGCTGTATTTTGTAAGAATGAAAAGTTAGTGAATACCGAAAAATAAAAAAAATTATACTCAACTGAACAGTTCACCCAATTTACACTTGCACATATTTGAACTTAGCATGATATTTAACTTTAGATTCAACATCAAGTGTCACTGGTTCTTGTGTGTCTATTTCCTCATCTTATGGCTTGAGTTGGATGGACTACTTTTATGTTTGTTTTAGTACTGTCAAATCGATTAATCGCAATTAATCGCATCCAAAATAAGTTTGTGTTTACATAATATGTGTGTGTACTGTATATATTTATATGAATCTACACACATACATGTATATATTTAAGAAACACAAATATATATTATGTAAACACTAACTTTTTTTTTGGTTGCGATTAATCGATTTGACAGCACTAGTTTTTCTCCCCATTTTTGGAGGTCGATAGCATCCATTCCCATCAATTTTGTTACTGTTAACTAAAATTATTAAAAATAATTTTGATAACTAAAAACTGAACAAAAAATTTGAAATTAAAATATTAAACTAAATAAGAAATGAAAAACTAAAAATGTACTTAAAATATAAAAATAATAGCTAATTCAAAATATTAATACATACTGTAACAGTACATATACAGAGATCTAAAATAAAATTGGCTCCAATTTATTTCCATTGTATTGCACAGAAAAGTTTTCTTTTTCTTTTATTTTCACTCCATGCATTTTAGAACATGAGGGTGAATTATGATATTTTTTACCTTTTTTGGGGGGGTGAACTATGCCTTTAAAAAAAATTAATGACCAAATATACTCAAACATGACTGCATGTGTTATTGGTTAGACTACATTATATTCAAGATGGTAACGCTAGTATGGTAGTACTATTAATGTTGTACTATAATTATTTAGTAATGCAAACAGAAGACCTCTCACACACATACCTGCTGTCCATTGCTCAGTCTCTCCTCTTTGAAGCGTAGTTTTCTCTCCAGGTCTTGTATGACAGCATCTTTGGAGCCCTGGATCTCTGAATCAGAGATGATGCGTGGTGTGCGGGGTGTAGTCTTACGTGGCAAAGCCCTGTTAAAACACAATCAGAAAATAATGGAGAAAAAACAAACTTTAAATCAACAGATAGCAGACTAAGCATTTCTCTAAGTACATAATCTGCAGCTGTTGACTTCCTAAACACAGAATCAAGTGGGAAACTGTTGCTACGGAGTTATATTTCCCGGTCCATAAAACCTTTCCAGATAGAGGCTAGAATTAATGCACATACACAAATGAACAGAACCGCAGCTTTTATAATACACTGCAATACGAAAGTTGGCACTGACGAGAAGATTGTGGGACATATTTTTTTGCATATACACTGGAAAGCAAGAATAAATTTCGTTATCTGTTTGTGTGTGCTTTAAAATTCCACAGCGGTCTCTTATCTTTCCCCCTCTGGCTCTGGAATGCCAGGAAGAGAGAGAGAGAGGAATGAACTAGTGGAAGATAATGAAGAAAACGGAGATGAAGAGGTGGATGATAGGAGCAGCAGCTTTGAAGACAAAAACTCTGGATGAGTGTTTTAAACTCAAGTTTAACAGAAAGACCATCTTCACTGAAGATCCTAATCATAAATCATGAGCAACATCAAATCGGTCTCTGGAAAAACTCTTGTTCAGCTTGTATTTGCATCACTTGTATGTTTATATGAAGGAGAGAGGCTTACAAGCTTAAATAAACATTTTGTCAGTTTACCCCCATCTTGAATAACATACTTATGTGAAACTAGGGATGTTCATTTCGGTTATTTTTCCGAACCGACAACCGACGCTCGTTAACCGATTATTAACCGTTAACCGACAAGATTATTTTAAATTAGAATTGAATTAAATTAGAAAGGATAAGTGTCTGTGACCCGTTAAAAATACTAACATTTGTTTACCCGGGACAAATAGTCATCATATCACATCACGCACCTGCAGCACTTCTGCGAGTGGAGAAAAACATAATAAAGCTAGGCTATAGACCTATATCTATCTATCTATCTATCTATCTATCTATAAAACGAATAAATAGGCCTATACGAGAAATATATTTTTACTTGAATAATAAATTAAGAAAATGAAAGAAAAACTGTGCAACAAGTAGCCTAGTATTCAGAGTTCCAGTTCATTTTTGTGCTGCGCAAAAGGAAACCCAAGACGGCAGAAAGCGGCATAGTATTTTTCTTTAGGGTATGCAGAGTTTCGGTTCATTTTTGTGCTGCGTGAAAGGAAACCAGATGGCAGAAAGCGGCATCCTATTTTTCGTTAGGCTTATTTTACAAAAGCACAAAGATTTGTTTTATTGTGAATGTACACAAATAAAGGCAAACCTTATACAATTCCGATTATCTTTAGGACTAAAAGGAGTAGTTTCTTTCACTGTTAGAAGGAAAAAAAAAAGTGATTGCGCCGGCGCCGCATGCGCACACACAGTTAAGCATTGCTACCTTGACAATGCAGCATGTTCATTATCATAATAAAATACAGTCAGTCAAACATATGGAAAAAAACACACTGCTCAGTTTAAATATGTAGTAAAATCTGTGCCGTTAAGTGTTATCACCGTACCGCCTTGATGTTATGTCAAACACATTTTGTTTTACGTGGATATTGGAACGCGAGTGAAGTAGGCTACATAATAAATAATAATTTGGCATTCAAATACATTGCGAATACGGAAACATTTGATTTTGTGTTGAATGAGAGACCCAACGTTGGTTTCAGTTTCGTTTTCGCCTAAATGAATTCGTTTTGGCTTGTCGTTTATATTGCTATAGCTACTTATATTTAAAATTCTTGTTCTTTTCTAAATACTGTTAATTGAAAGGATTTGTTGTGTAGTGAGGGGAACTAAAATAGCCTAGCTAGGTTTACAGTGTTTATTATAATGTTTGTAAACATTTCGCATTGGCATTAGGCCTATTTCTGAATGAAATAAATCAAATGCGACTTATTCGCGACTTGTTTTTTTTTCTCTAAAAAACAAAAAATTTTATATGCGTAGCATATTTTAACCGTGCAGCAAACCTTTTTAAATATTTTGATAAATTACTGAAAAAAAAACAAATAAATGACCTTTTAAACCGTTTAACTGATTGTATTAATCGGTCAAAATTCTTACGGTCGGTTAACCGGTAACCGGTTAAAATGAACATCCCTATGTGAAACACCTTTCATTAATGAAAGTGTACAGCAACTAGAGGTTGTCTGTCCCTGTGTTATTTTAATATTATTTATAAACTATTATAGTATTTATTCATATTTTGGATTTAATTTTAGTAATTTTGTTGTGTTATGTGCTTTTGATTTTATTTCAGTTTTAATAATTTTAGTGCTTAAACTACACATTTATGAATTACAAAAGGTAACTTTTTTTTGTTCAGCTTTATTTCAATTAGTGAATTTTTTATTTTAATATTTTACAATAACAATACTGGTCTGCCAAGCTCCAAAATTACAATAAATACAGAAAAGTAGACTGAAACCATTCGTTAACTTTGAGGGGAACATACAAGTCTTTAAAATCTCAAAATCGTTTCTACCATATTCATCTAGAGCACTGTGATGCATACAAAAATCAATGTTTGTGGATCTTTTTGGAGCTTAACGGTCACTGGTCGTCTCCTAGCATTTTGGATATTCTGTTAAAAAAACCCTCCTTTTGTGTACAACAGAATAAAGAATGTCATACAGGTTTTAAATAAGTGAGCAGATTATTTTTTGTTATCCATTTAAAAACACTCATTCTCAACTAAACCCATGTGCTTTACATTTCTGTAGGCTTGAGAATGAGAGGAAATCTCTATAATACACAGTTCCTTACCCTCAAGGTTCCTCAGCTCCCATTGATCCTAGTCTCTCCATAAACATGCCATGTAAGAATGCATACAGTACATGTCTTCCATGCAGCTGGAAAGCAGGAGCTGCACTCCAAATTACTCATCAGCCCATGTGTTCACTTTATATGCCCATGATAGTGTTCTATTGTAGTTCATGATGAAGCGCTCTGTCTTTATATAGTATAGAAAAGTCGTGACGCAAGGAATACAATTTCAGGGTCCAAGGCGCTACTCAATTGTGCTTTCAATTAGCTACTAGGCTCATGGCATCCCAGATTCAAATATTTTAATGATTCGTGAAAGATGAATCACTGCCTGGCCAGCTGAGATTTTTAGGTAGTACCATTTGTTTCTGTGTGTTGTTTATGTGACATCAGACTTAAGCAGATGACTGCACACCTTCAAGAGGCATTTGGGATGCGTTTCAAACAGATGATTTTGGATACTCACACTGTGCCGTTACCCTTGGGCAGCCCCAAAGCATTCACTGGTGGTGGAGGTGGTGTGGCTGGAAGCACCGACACCAGAAACCCGGCTGGTGACTGTGGAGTGGACTTGAAGGGCGAGGAGGTGTCTGAGCGAGTGGGGCTTGACGTGACAGGTGGAGGAGGCGGTGGAGGTGGAGGAGGGAAGTCTTGTGGCAAGCCAGCAGGAGAGGATAGAGTGCTGGAGCTGAGAAAGGGCGGAGGGGTGGATTGTTTCTGGTCCAACATGGTCTACCAGGTTGCGTGAGCTAAATGACCAACCTGGAGCAGTTGGCCCCCCAAAAAGCTATGTCATAAACAGTTACTAGCCAAGTTGAATGGGTTTGCAGACACTCCACTGCATTTTAGGCTCTCATACCTTATTGTTTAGATTTACGTTAAAATATATTATATTTAAATAAAATTATTGTAAAATAAATCGGACAGAAATGCAGGGATAAATTATCAATTTTATAAACTGTTTTGTCCATTCAAAAAGTACATTTAATTTAATTCATGTTTTTAAATGTAGTTAAATATACAAATAAAGAAAGAAACTTAAAACAAATGCAAATAAAATTACTTTTAATTGGACAAATCGGTTTAATGTTTTACCATGCAATTAAATAACAAAAACACCACAAAAAAAAAAGAAAGAAAAGAAAATGAAATGAAACCACAAAAAAATGTTGTATTCTAAAGATTATTCTGATGTAGCGCTTTATATATTTCCATCTTTATTGATTTATTAGAGATGGAAATCCACACACAGAGTTCAGCGAGTGATGTCCTCTCAGGGTCAGTGTATCATTATCACAGAATAGATGGCCCATAACATAGGAGGAAATGAACTCCAGAGCCTGCAGTGGTGTAGTGTGTGTTACTATAAAGAACATCTATGAATGCACATACACATGTGTCTGTACAGCCGCATACGGGCAGAAGATTTCATGCCTAGTTGTTTGTGCGGTTATGCATGTCTGTGTGCATTTGTGCTGAGTTTCTGGGAAGGAAACTACAGCCCACTGAAAAGCGAGTGATATGCTATCTTGGGTAAAGTTTAAACTACACTGTCAACAGCCTGTAAACAGCATGGAAAAGGATGAGATGGAGATCTCAGTAATGTGTCGTGTGAATATGGGTGTGGGCTGATGATTGAGTGTTATCTGTCCAATGTTTGGCCTCATGGTTCACCCACATACACAACAACACTGATGTCCACATTGTCCTTTTCTCTACTAAACATGAGATATTTGCTGCCTACAGTCATAGTTTTCCATCATCTGAATTCTTGTGTCCCTGGAAGACGTTTTGTTCGAAACGCAATTTGTCTCTCTTCTTCTGCAGACTCAGCCCCACTCTCCCGCTGCCTTTTTTTGGCAACTTCTAGACACATTCTGTGAGCCTCAACAAACGGATAACCTTAAACAAACTGATAACCAAGTCCAGATGCTTTTCATTGAAATTTTGTCATTGGTCTCCTATAGGCACATTCAACATTTTTCTGCTATTCACTCCGTAAAGAAACCCAAAACTTGAATTAAATGCGTAATTTCGATGTGTGTGTTTCACAAGGGGATCGGGAGTGGTAGGCCAGCCACACTCCAAACCGCATTTAATCAAATTATTTCCAGATGTTGACTAATGAGTCACTGTGTTTTCCCCTCCTTCTCTCCATTTTTTTTGTGATGGAGATGGAAGTGCTCCCTCCAGCCAACTGATAAATCCTCAGAGTTTGGGTCAAGAAAAAGAGAAAGGGAGTATTCAGTTTGTGTTGGTAATACTTCGCCAAACCTTAACCTAAAACCTAGAATGCAAGTTTATCAAATAAAAGGATTCATTGAAGAAAAGAAGAGATTAAATTATGTAACTTTGTTTTGGCGGCACAAATGGTGATTTGGACCACATTAAAGGCATAAATGACCACCTAAAACCTTGCCTTTTCCCTTTTTCACTTTTTTTCCCTGTCCATATGTTCAAGTATCCATCAAAAGAGCACTTTTACAGGAATACTTTGGCAGCTGGTGAAAGGCTCTTGGACTCAACCGCCTGTGCTACTTTGCTTTCATTCCTTTTTTGGCTCTGTTATGAGTCCAAAGCACCAGCGGCTAGACTCTCACTTCTCTACCTTCTTCCCTTTGGGTCTTGCTTCCTCTCCTTCCCTTTCTTTACATCCCTTTTTAAAATTCCACAATAAATGTCACCTTCCATATTCCCTCACTTTTTAACATCAGAAAGAGCAAGAATTGCAAGTCTAATCTGTCTTTTTCTCCATCCTTTTGCTTTTCTCTTCTCCTCCTCCCTCCTGAGTAAAAGCTGCTGGATAATGGCCGGTAAAGGTCTGGCGTTACGAGCCCCTCCAGAAATACCGCTCCGACTCTTAATATACCACTTAATAGCTTCCTGCATTCAAGGAATATCATCATGTTCAATCACAGGCAGCGATTTTCTAAAAATAGCTCTTGCAGGTTTCTCCACTTATTTTTTCCTTTTGCATTTCTGGAATTCCTGACCAGTAAACCTGGGTTGATGAAGGAAGGTCAGCCGGTGCTGACATAATCAGATTGCCTTAAAAGGCACGGAGTCTGCAAACAGAAAATGCTATGGTACCTTCCTGCTTAAAATCATGTTCATTCATTAGAGAAATCTCAGACACCAGTATACGGATACAGATTCAACAATCTGTGCAGTGCATTTCTTGAATATTTACTGAAGTGATGAGTTAAAATAAGCAGGAAGCAAAGTGTGACATTAGTTCAGCTTTTTCCAGTAACATGGCACGTGAACAAATCGTGGTGAAAAACACTACATTCACAATCTTCATTTCCATCAATCAGTCAACCATGTTTTCCTAAACATGGAACTGTTTTGTTTCATGTAAATGAACCGATTCAAAAACGATTCGGTCAATCTGTTGAATTTTTTATATTGAATTCAGTAGTTAATAAATTTAATTATTTAGCAGTTTTTTTATGCATTCAATTATTTTTGTAGTACTATGCAGCTTAAAGTTCTCTGTTCAAGTATAATGGTAACACTCAAATTATTCACTCAATTAAAAACCATCAATGCATAAGCGCAAGATCTGATTAAATTATATCATCGGATAATTGTGCATTTAAAAATAAACACATTGCACCCCTTATTAAGCATCAAAGTAGTTTTGCCATTTTTTTTGTATTGTACAGTGTAGCTAACTACTTTTTCAAAAGGTTAGTTTGACTTGGAAATCTACTGTACAGTTTCAAAGTAGGTTCTCCAACAATATAAATAAAGTATGGCAGGTCTACACAACACATTTAGGCTTTTTTTTTGGAATGGAAGGGAAGGCATGGGATCAACTGTGACTCAAACTCACATCGCCCATATGACCACAGCTTCAGCCACATTCCCAGTTGTGTTTTTCAAGTCTACAGCCCTTCCTCAGCTGAGTCTGCTGTACTCCGGGTTAGTTCTGTCATAGTTTGAGTGATTTAGAGATATTAATGGGAGAGAGGTGCATATGTCTCTGCGTCCATATGCACCCAGCACTGCTTAAATAATCACAGCCTTCTGTCAAAGGTTACATGAAGTAATTTCATGTAACAATTTTCTGCCAAATTACAAGGTTTGTAACTAGTGGAGATGAAGCAGACCCCTCAGCAGACACAAAACACACTCTCATATTCCTGCACTTACACACATTCCTGTCTAATTTAGCTACAGGTCTATAAAATGCACTTACACAAATCTAGCTCCTACTGTTTTATGGGAGCCCCAGAGAAGCACTTGACCTTGCATAAAACACACACAATCGTCAAAATCGTCTGTTTTGAATCAGAGAACTGTTCAGACATCACTGCTACAGAAACTGTCTAAACACAGAGGTCATTTTTAAAAATGTAATTTATTAAACCTTGATTAAAATTAAATAAACTAAAACAAGTAAATACAAAACGTAAAATAATAGCAGGGAGGGCTTTCTAAAATGACTGATACTAATACCAGAATGCATGAATAAATCATGCAATATTTAAATTAAGCATATAAAAACAAGCTGTACGCTGACTTGTGGTAGAGTGATTTTATAAGCTCATCTTTTACTAAATGTTTGCTTATTATTAAAGTCTATATTGCCTATTCTATTATAATGCCTTTCTTTTCTTCAGAATCCACTTCATACAAGCATCCGCATAACAGTGCACATATTTTCTGTTCTTAACTTCCTCTGAAGCCTGTTGCATTGTATTTGAATCATATGCAGACATGACAGGAAGCTGTTGAGCTAGTCTTTCTTTCTCTCCTCCACACCATAATTTAAAACCCAGAGCTGATGATGTTCACACTGCATTAAACACTACAATTTGTTGTACCATTAAAACACAGTCGTGACATGAGGTCAGACAAGCGCTCATTAGCTTTGAAGTGGTGACATTTGTCAGTGGCATTTGTGCCCCTATAAAACAGTGAAAAACACCTCATAAAGTTGTGTTAACCAATGTGCCTTTTTCAAAATAACGGTAAGATACGGGTCAGTGCAGATTATGGTTTAATTAGACCACCAATCAGCTTCTATCCAGACTTTTAATATCACTGCATAAGACAGGGGCTGGTGTTAGTTAGTCTCACTAAGCATAATAAGGTCAGTGTATTCTTCGCTCTTTTTTTACTCTTTCATCTCCTCGCACTGTCCTACTAGAGTATCTTCTGAGCATTTCATATCTGCTTTTCTAAACTTCTCTAATTGTTTAAAATCACTGCTGAAGATTGATACAAGCAAAAAAAAAAAAAGTTAAACCTGTAAACAGATTTTCAGGTGATTACATTCACCAAAAGTATGTTAAATATGCGTTGAGGAATAATACAAGAGTGATTTTATGGAAATAATGTGTGTCTTGCAGTCAGGTCAAGCATCTTTGTTTTGGCTGTGAGCATGAGTGGAGTTTCTACTGTTTTTAACCAGCTGCTATCACAGGAAAAAGATTCAAGACGACAGGAAGTTGTTGAGTTTAAATATTTGACAATTAGAGGACTCCATGTTTACAGAGCATGTCCTGTATTGTGTGTGTGCATGTGTCTGTGTGCAAGACATGCGAACAGAAAATATGGAATAGTAATGAGCAAAACAAGTTTATAAACTTCATTCTGTATTATTATTGCATTAAAAATTGGATTAAACTATAAAAGTGGAAGGTCCTGTCAAATAAAAGAACATTTATCCTAAAACATCTGACTAAAACAAGAGACCAGTAGAACAA